AAGCTGGCTCGTTGGTGTCTGGGTCGGATCCAGCCCGCAGAAGCCCACATGAGCTCCAGAACTGAACGACATGCGTCTCTCTCTCTCTGTCAGCTAACTCATAACTTTATAGTTTTGGTCCATCATAAGTATAATTTATTAACATTTTAAGTTTCCTCTTTGTCAGAGCTGACATTAGAATCCATAGTTTTCTCTGGATTAAGCTACCCTGACACCCTCAGCTGACGGCACTTGGTTTGGCCCCCCCAAAAAAAACTTTCTCACAAAAATGACTTTAAAAGCCTGAATAATTCATGTATGTGTAAAAAAAATGTTTAAACGAGTTTACCTTATGTTTCTCTAAACATTGAGTCATGGGAGTCTAACCTGCAATTTGCTCGTTAAGGCCTAGCAGTCACATTCTAATAAAATTGTCATTCTTCTAAATTAAGCTTTTTGTGATCTTTATTATTATGGTGTCTTGAACATCTTGTGTTGTTTGAATTACGTTTACTTTAGTGGTAGTTTGGTTAATTTAATAATTAACTGAATATAATCTTTCTTCTCTTCTACATCTTTTTCACAAAGTAAAGTCCAAAGGCAACTCCAGTGGCAATTCCAGGTCACAGAGGATCAATGCTGGACAACATAAGAATAAAAAACAGGTTGTTCTTTTTTTCCCTTTAATCCACTAGAGGGCTCTGTTGACTTGCATGTTGTGTAATTTTTTTTGTCCATCCTACTTTCTCTTCACATTTTAAACAAACTGAATGTATCAGTGTTGCTGTGTAAGTCCATTTTAAAAATGTTATGTTTTAGGTTTATATAGCAAATGAAAATATAAGCAGGTTTGTTGCATTTCTGTCTGGCTCTGATTGGCTCTATGTGTTCACAGAATGCTGGTGTGGAAGGTAAAGGCACATCTGGATCTCCATTGGACAAAGGGTCTGACAAGAGCCCCACAAAAGTCAGACAGCCACGCAAAGTTGACCTTCGAGCGCGGTACTGGGCCTTCCTCTTTGAGAACCTGCGTCGGGCGGTGGATGAGATTTATGTCACATGTGAATCTGACCAGAGCGTCCTAGAATGCAAGGTTTGTGTTTGCAGCAGCAACAAACTTATCCTGATGAACTTTAAGATAATTTGGGACACATTATGAATGGTGCAGAAATTTGGGGTGAAACTGGATGTCTTATGATTTTTGAACACTAGAGGGTGCCATTGAGATTATTACAAACTCACATTACAATTAAATTCTTGGGTTCAGCTCATGCCAGAGGGGTTTGATGAGAGCTTGTTGGTGAGAGGGTCAACACAGCAGCTCCCTCAGCAGGCACATTTGCTTAAATACATTTTATGCCCGAGTTGAGTGTTTTTAAAAAATTTATTATTTTGGTTTTTTTAAGCATTTTCTGAAGCAGGATTTGACTAACCTAAACACATCTTTGACACAATTGTGCATTTTAAAGTCCATGTAGGCTTTTGTTTTCTTAAAGCAGTACCTGTGACATTCCTTAAACATTCTGCTTGTCCTCTTCTATTGACTCTTCTGCCACATAAGTTGTGTTCAACTTGGTTCTGGTGGTGCCCTGTGGTCCGCACCGTAGCCTAGTTCCCTGTATTGGGATCAGCATGGTTCATTGTCACAGTGAGGCTCCCTGTAAGGTGTGTGTTTCTCTCTTTCTGCCCCCCTCTTTCATACCACCGAATGGTGACAAGATGGTGGCGCGCACGAGTGCAGCGGCTCTTAGCTCTCCAGTTTGGTGCTTGTTTTTATTATCTTAACTGTGTCCATTTAAAAATTTCTGCAACGCTAACATCTATCACAGCCGACAGAACATAATCGACGTAGGTTTCAGCCTCAGGTTGCCTGTTTCTGGCAAATATCAGCACACACACAACATCCCGGAGGACATAGCGAGACTGCCGGGGTCTCCGTGGATGGTATGCCTGCCTAGCAAGCGCAGGAGGCAGCGGAGGGAAAGAAAACAGAAGAGGGGGTGCTGATCAGGCTCGGATGTTATAGGCTACGTAAACCTCACCGGCCAGCACTCCTGAGCCTTTTCCTGTCTAACGCCAGATCCATCAGCCATAAAATGGACAAACTGGAGCTACAGATAGCCACAACGGGCTTTGCACGGAACTGCAGCATTATTCTTATCACGGAGTTGTGGTTGCACCCGCTGATCCCCAAATGACTACAGGCCTATTGCACTTACGCCTGTAGTGATGAAGTGCTCATCAGAACCTGTCTGCCTCCCACTCTGGACTCCCATCAATTTGCATACAGGGCAAATCTTTCCATCGAGGATGCTATCACCGCTCCACACTGCGCTGAGTCACCTGGAGCACCGAGGAAGCTACGTGAGAATGCTCTTCTTGGACTTCAGCTCAGCATTCAATTACATCATCCCGGAGATCCTGGTCCAGAAACTGTCTCACTTGGGATTTGTACCTCCATTTGCCTCTGGATTAAGGACTTCCTGACAAACAGACCACAGTCTGTCAGACTCGGCCCCCACCTGTGCAACACCATCACTCTCAGCACCGGGTCTTTACAAGGATGTGTTCTGAGTCCCCTATTGTTTACACTCTACACATCCGACTGCTCCCCGACCCATCCCTCAAACACCATCTTAAAGTTTGCAGACGTCACCACCGAGGTTGGACTTATCTCAAAGGGGGGTGAGTCGGACTACAGGGATGAGGTCAACATACTGACTAAATGGTGCTCAGTAAACAACCTTCAAGTGAACATCACAAAAACTAAAGAACTTGTACTGGACTTCAGGAAAGGTAGAGCAGACCCGGCCCTACTTTACATCCACGGGAACTGTGTGGAGAGGGTACACTCCATGAGGTTTCTGGGAGTGCAGATATCCGATGACCTCTCCTGTACTGCAAATACCACGGTGGTGGTAAAAAAAAAGGCCCAGCAGTGTCTCCACTTCCTTTGAGTGCTCAGGAGGAACAACTTGGAGGAGAGGCTGTTGGTGACATTTTACAGAGCCACCATAGAGAGCGTCCTAGCGTACTGCATAACAACGTATGCAAGGTGCTCAGTTGCAGACAGGAAGGTGCTGCAGAGGGTCATAAATACAGCCCAGAAGACCATTGCCTGCTATCTGCCGAGCCTGGAGGACATTGCAAACTCTCGGTACCTCAGCAGAGCTGGCAACATCATCAAGGACTACTCCCACCCCAGCAACCATCTGTTTGAACTGCTACCGTGAGGTCGAAGATACAGGTCACACAAAACTAGGACAAACGGATTCAGGAATAGCTTCTTTCCCAGGGCAATCACCGTTGTAAATAAATACAAAAAGAAGTAGAGAGGAACTGTGTACATATACACTGGTCTTGTGCAATAACAAATGGTACACCGTATATTGTTACTATATTTATTCGGCTGCTTTTGTACACCCTTTGACTGTGTTTTTTTTTAATATTTTTCATATTTATATAAATTTTTATTTTTATTTTTTTTTGTATTTTGCACCAATGAGAGTGGCACTCCAATTTCGTTGTACTTTGTACAATGACAATAAAAGGCTATTCTATCGTTCTATTCTATCTCTCGACACACTAATGCTGCCTAATGGGCACGAAGCTGGGTGCTGGACATAATCCCCTATCCCACCCAGCTTGGCCTTAATGGACACTGATAAATGATGAAGTCATCTGGAGAGGAAGCAGAGTGCTTTGATTGCCCTCATTCGCAATCCCCATGTGTGGCTGTTGGTAGTCTTCGTTGTGTACTCTCACACAAACAGACCACCACTTTTCACTTTAAAACTTAACATCATCATCGGCGTCAGGAAGCGATGCCTAAGTATCCGCCAAGGCTGTTACTGTTGGAAATCTTTTTATACTTTTAGCCTCTCAAAGGGGAATAATTCTCTTAGCAGAATGGATCATACGTTTTATTATTAATGCAGATGGTTTCTCAACTCAGGGAAAAGTGGGACAGGTTCTCAGAATTCCAATCTGACCCCAAGGTTTCATGCAATTTAAAAATAAATTGAAATACGTTAGTTTGGGTCTGAACTCGTTAAAAGGACAAATACAGAAGAGTACGTTTATTTATTTGAGGTCAATAACTTTCACCTCAGCTGAACGTGGCTTTGCTCCTCATGGAGGGGCAGGATACCTTACTTTATGGCAAAACCTCTTGAAGGTTAAACAATATGCCCTTTGAACAATAGGCAAGCTAAAGTTGTGTAGATGTGGCTTTTGTTTAGTGTTGGTTCATCTCTCATCTCGGCCTTCATTACCAAATAAACACCAGCCCGTCGCTGCGGTTGACCAGAAGACTCGCTGCTGGACACATCTTTCACTGGCTTGACTCGTCTATTAACTAAAAGCACTGTGAAGCTTTACTCTCAATTACCACTCCCTTCAAGCTCCCCATCAATCAGCTATGTCTGTTTCATTAGAGCGCTGAGGGGGGGACCACTCCTTCTGCATAGCCAATATTGCTTCCCAGTCCACGTGCACATAATAGACCTTTCTTGTGACAAATTGGTCTTCTCTGTTCTTCCTCAAGGCTTTCAGTGAAGTGTTTACTTTTACACAGCTTCTGCTTTCAAGATAAACTATTCATCTCTCTGAGTTCCCCTTGTCATTTTAAATGAATCAAACAAATGTGGACTGAGGGTAGGTGTTTGAAATTCACAAAATCCATCCATCTAGCCATCCCTCCATTCATTCTCCTCTGCTTTTTCTGAGTCGGGTCGCGGGGGCAGAAGCCTAAGCAGAGAAGCCCAGACTTCTTTCTTCCCAGCCACTTGTGCCAGCTCTTCTGGAAGAAAACTAAGGCATTCCCTGGCCAGCCGAGAAATAAAGTCCCTCTGAGTGGGTCCTGGGTTTTCCTTTAGGTCTCCTATCAGTTAGAAGTGCCCAGAAAACCTAACCAGGGAGGCATCTTTCAGATGCCAGAGCCACTTTAACTGGCTCCTCTCGATGTGGAGGAGCAGCGGATCTACTCTGAGCCTCTCCCGGATTACTGAGCTTCTTACCCTATCTCTAAAGGAGAGCCCAGACACCCTGTGGAGAACTCATTTCGTCTGCTTGTATCTGTGATCTCATTCTTTCGGTCACTACCCAAAGCTCGTGACCACAGATGAGGGTTGGAACATATATTGACCGGTAAATTGAGAGCTTTGCCTTCCAGTTGAGCTCTTTTCACCATGACAGACCGGTACAACGCCTGCATCACTGCAGACGCAGCGCCTATCTGCTCATCAATCTCCAGCTCCCTTTTTCTTATCTGTTCTGGTGGCCTAAGGATCAGGTCTCTGCTATTTGCAGATGACAAGGTCCTGTAGGATTCATCAGACTGTGATCTCCAGCTTTTGCTTGAGCAGTTTGCTGCAGAGTGTGAAGCAGCTGGGATGAAAATCAACTCCTCCAAATCCAAGATCATGGTCTTGAGTCGAAAAAGGCTAGAATGACTTTTCAGGTTCAAGGATGAGGTCCTGCCCCAAGTGGAGGACTTTTAAGTAGCTCAGGATCTTGTTGATGAATGAGGGACATTCACAATAGTTTATCTTTTATGACTTTTAATTTTTTTATCAAACTTTTTCATTTTAACTGACGATGAAACAATTTTATACCTAATATTCATCTGTAAATAAGTTAACTATTACATTTTTGTATTCATTACACTGTGTGTAGGAGGTGTTGATGATGCTGGACAACTATGTTCGGGACTTCAAAGCTCTTATAGACTGGATCCAGCTTCAAGAGAAGCTAGAGAAAACGGACGCCCAGAACAGGTGAGGCGTTTTCCTGCTTTAAATCACTCCCTGTGGTAGCCTGGTCCCCGGCTTTGAGTCACAAACGGAACAAATCAATAGTCTTGGCTTTAATTCAAAGCGATCCACAAGTTTATTGGGTTCTCTTTAACACAGTGGCCACTGCAGCCATAAATTGACAAAGAAATTTAATTCTGTGTCGCCTCCCTATTTGTTGATTTAAAGCATCCTGTTAATCAATAGGACAAAGTGAAACCTAATTTTATTCATTCCAAACATTTAATCGATGGTGTCAAATATGCAAGTGAACTTTCTGTGTGTTTAGCTGCAGTGAATCATGTTTAGTTTTAAGTTATGCATGGTGTGTGACTTTGTTCAGACCCACTTCTTTAGCCTGGGAGGTGCGGAAGATGTCTCCTGGACGTCACGTGATGCCAAGCCCCACTTCAGACAGAATAGCACCTTCTCCGGGTGCACGGCGCAACTTCAACTTTGGGTAAGCTCCTTCAGCTTTTTTGTAAATCCATAGTCGACCTCCCAGTATCCATCATCATGCTCCGTGGTGTTTAAAAGCTTGCAAGGAGCAGATGATATCTTGCGAGGCAGCCGATAATTGCCGATGATGAAGCTTCTGTTTAATGCAATTTGTTGAGTCTCCCACTCTCCAGCCACAAAATCAGTGGAAGGTGTAGACGAAAGTGTGGGTTGAAGATTGCTGAAGCATTGGTTCAATATGTGCACTGCTCTGAAATCTGATGCTGCAGGAAATGGATATTGATCATGACAGAGGCCTGTTGTACAATACAGTTGCATGCTTTCTGAGAGTGGAGCTCACTGGGGTGGGGCAGATGGACTTATCTTCAGCAGGCTGAAGTGTTTCCAACAGTCAGCAGCACGGTGGTCGCTGCTCAGAAATGAGATTTAATCAAATTTAAAGTTGTGCTTGTATGCAGGATGGATGCCACCATTTGCTTATTCTATTGCATGGTGTGTGTGTGTGTGTGTCTGTCTGTGTTCTTGGTCAGTGGTCCTCCATCAACGCTGGCTGCAGCTCGGCTCTCCCACACTGGTCCCAGCTGGGCAGACAGAGTAAAGTGCACTCAAGCCACCCAAAGCTCGAGTCAACCGACCGCATCCCCAGCAGAAAAACCCAGTAAGAAATGACCCATACATCCCACCCCACATGGATGCTCAAAACAAAAAAAAAAAACATGGTTTTATCCTGTTTACACAGTGAATTATGTGTCTCCAGGTAAAAAAGATGCAGAAGGCTGGGAAACTGTACAGCGCGGTCGCACGGCCAAACCTCGCTCTGCTACCATGGTTTCCAAGGTCGGTCCTAATCTGGCTCACAACGCTCCAAAACAGGACTTCGTCAAGTCCAACTGGTCACGACAACCGCCACAGGAAGAGCGGCAGCTGCGGCCTGAGCGTCCCCTCAACACAAACGAGACCCAGCACGATCCTGAACAGCTAGTCCCCGCGAAGCCAGCCCCCCTGAAGGAGGCCGAACATCCAGAGAATGGACAAATAATGGAGGTACTAATGTTGAGTACCTTGTGACATCTTTCTGCCTGAACAGTTCCTGGATATCAATTATTCACATGGAGCAGTGTAATTCTAGATAGTTTTATCAGCCACATTTGTTTTTGTTTTGGCTCCATGATATTAATAGGCAGGCTGTCCAGACGGGCAGATCAGCCTTGAAACAATTGATTGTGTGCTGACATCTTAGAGGCAGAAAGGCCTGAAATAAATGCTGAAGACACCTGACACAAGTGTGTCACAACATTCAGTTGAAGTGAAAAATACAAATCTGCTGACCATAGCTGGATGTTGTAGAGCATGTTATTGCCAGTTTCCCTGCATGATTTGTGTTTTTATCTGATTTTAATTTGGATTTCTTTTAAATGTTGTCACAAACTGCTTGAAATATGCATGTTTTTAATTGGGTTTGCATGTGTTTGTGTGTGTGTGTGTGTGTGTGTGTGGGTGGGTGTGTGATTGGTGCAGCCCCCAGCAGAGAGTGCACAAGCCTCAGAGCAGTGTGTCGACGCATCCTGTGAAGATGTGCAACCCTCCATAACATCCCTTACTCCATCCCAAGCCCCAGAGTGCACCCAGTCCAATGCGGCAGCCCTCCCCACAGACATTACCATATCAGAGCCGGTCACATCTCCGCCCATTACAGCATCCGTAGACCCACACCAGACGGGTGGGCTCGGTACTCCGGTGGCCTGTGGGGATGCCGAGGCCGAGGGGGGCGCATCACAGGGCATGGCAACATCTGCTGCAGGACAGGCTGAGACTCCCATGGCACCGGTGAAACTGGAGAGCGTGCTGGACCCCACAGAGCTTTCCACTGTGAGTGCTGAGAGATGGAGGGGCGGAGGGAGGGGATGGTGGAGAGGGTAGGGATCCCCCTAGGGCTATTCAAAGCCTAAACAAAGTCAGTCTAAAGAAACCTTCAGACCAAATGTGCAGGCAGGGCCGCATAGCTCCGTGTAATGTTGTTATAGCAGCATTCACTGTTAAGAATAGCTGTGACTAGATGGACTTTGTACTCAGCTGAGTGTTGCTAGTGTGTTACCCCAAAAGTAATCACTCACATTTGTTAACAAATAAGTTCAGGAAAAAACAAAATGGAAATCGAAAGTGTTTTTTAGGTAATTTATTTTTTTTGCCCACTGTGCAATATTTAAAGCTAGCTTACGTCAGAAAGTTATTTTGGAGTAATATAAAGGATGTTAATATAAGAAGGGTTTATTTTTATTAGTTAAAGAGCAAGTCACCCCCTACAAGAAACTTACTTCACTCCCACTTCATGTTTGAAAAATGCAACAAATGCTGTTGCTTGGCAGACCGAGAGGGCGGAGCCGCTAACAAATACACACACACAGGCTCACAGTGGCATAATGACATCATAATGTACCAGATGACATCATAGCATACCTCTTATCCAATAGCGGTGGCAGATTTAAATTCAAATGCAGTGCAGAATTTTTCCCTGACGACGGCGCAACACTGACAGTTTTAGGCAGAATATTTGAATTTTAACCAAGATGCACTGAACTGCCAAATTATTGACTACACGTGTCTGCAGCACGATTAGACACTCCTTTATATAGTTTATCAGCAAAAAAAATGTGATTTGGGGGTGACTTGCTCTTTAAATTCCACTGAAACACGTATGACAAATAAATACAACCTCCCTAAATGATCAAATTTTATTTTATATTATTGAGTATTTTCCTGATTATTGCAGCGTTAAAAAGTTCTTTAAACCGTTTCTGAGAGCAGTAGCCTCCTTCCTTACCAATATCTCCTCATCCTCACTGTAAATGTGTCCTGCATGTTGTGTCTTGTGGTGGTTGTGTGGTACAAATTGAAGTTGATGATTTTTTATGAATCCCTACACACACACAAGCACTCTGTTATATTCCGGCTGCTTGGACAGTGTGGTGGTTTGAATAACATCTCATGTGCTCTTTCATGACTGAATCTGTGTTCAGCCTCAGTCCATGGCAGAAGTCCTGGCCAAGAAAGAGGAGCTGGCTGACCGACTGGAGAAAGCCAATGAAGAGGCCATCGCCAGCGCCATTGCCGAGGAAGAGCAGCTGACCAGAGAGATTCAAGCGGAAAATAATGACTTGGAAACTGACAACGAAAGTTACTTCTCTGTAAGATCAGCCACGCTCAGTTTTACTTGATGTTTGATGAATTCTCTTTTTTCTTATCTATATATGACTTTCATGTTTTTTTCCTTTATTGGGAATTGACTTAAAGTATCATAACTTTACTACAGGGTGGCATCAGTGGTGGAAGTTACAGTGGGAATATGGATTGGAGCGAAATGTTGGCTGATTTTGATGGTATGGAGGACATCTAATGCTTATTTTTGGAAAGCCAACACTCACATTACAGCCTTACATTTTTTGGTGTGTGTACTGCAGCTCGGGAGTCGTGGCGTCAGAGTACCTCCTGGGGTGACATGGTGGAAGAAGAACCTTCTAGGCCTCCTGGACATGGGATCCATATGCATGAAAAACTATCCTCACCATCACGCAAAAGGTACCTTTTAGCTTAGTAGTTTTTACACCTGTCGATTTTATTTTTTTTAACTCTGCTGTTGTGAAAAAGTTCTTTTAAAGTAGAGTTTAAACTAGAGATATCCCATATCGCTTTTTCATTCAAATCTGATATTCTGATATGGTCTAACTCTTAATTTCCAATATAAACTCATATCAACATATGTGTGGTCTCCCCTCTCAAAAAAAAAAAAAAAGAAAAACAGAACAAGTTTTGGGTATAATCACTTATCTTCTATCAACTGTAAACATTATTTGTGCAAAGTACACTTTATTTAAGCTAGGCCAATTGCGTCAAACAAAAAACTCAAAAGCTAGACCTCAGACTTGTCATTTTTTGAGTGAGACCAATACCGATAATTAACTATATTACATTTTAATAACATCCTTTAATAACATATTTTTTACAATTTAGTCTGAGAATTTTAATGTTGCCTGTTGAGGTGGCTCGGGCATCTGGTCAGGATGCCTCCTGGACGCCTCCCTGGTGAGGTTTTCCAGCCACGTCCAACCGGGAGGAGGCCTAAAGGTAGACCCAGGACACGGTGGAGGGACTATGTCTCTCCCCTGGCCAGGGAATGCCTTGGGATTCCCCCGGAGAAGCTGGCCCAAGTGGCTGGGGAGAGGGAAGTCTGGGCCTCTTGCCTTAGGCTACTGCCCCTGTGACCCGACTTCGGATAAGCGGATGAAAATGGATGGATGGATGGAATTTTAATGTTTTAAATATGTTTAAAGAGTAAGTCACCCCCTACCAGAGTGTCAAGCCCGCAATTTTGGGAATTCCAATGGTCACACAGGAAGCGCCGCACTGCTGAGCGCTTCATGGAAAGTCGTGTGATGGTCACAACATCACGCGGGACTTGAGAACAGGAAGCGGAAAGTGATTTCTTTGTTTTTACGTAATCAAACTTGCCATCGTGTTTTGTCTCTAATTAATAAAAAATGGATAAGTATGCTATTAGAATGTTTTAAGATGGTTGTGTTTTGCCATAAAGCCGTTCCACATTGTAATGTCTGTTAAGTACTCCACAATGTTGAAAACAGCCGCGCTTATCTTCAGCGCCTCGGCGCAGACCGGCGCTTCTAGGATGCGGCGTTGCGCTCCCCGTGTAGCCACTCTCAGTAACTATAATGGCTTCTTTTTAAAATGACAGCACGGCACGTCTGTCTTCAGTGTGCCCCAGGCTTTACTCCACCTCCTGTTTGAAAAATGCAACAAATGCTGTTGCCTGGCAGATCGAGAGGGCAGAGCCGCTAACAAATACACACACACAGGCTTACGATGGCATTGTGATATCATATGGTACTAGCTAACGTCATAGTGTACCTCTTAACTAATAGCGATGACAGATTTAAATTCAAATGTAGTGCAGTTTTTACCTGAATAGGATGCAACACTGACAGTTTTAGGCAGAATATTTAAATTTGAACTAAGATGCACTTAAGTGCCAAATTATTGACTAAATGAGTCTACAGCACGATTAGACACTCATTTATATAGTTTATCGGCAAAAAAAGTAGATTTGGGAGTGGCTTGCTCTTTAAGTTTCAGTTTTCCTTCTGACTGAATCGCTGCTGCAGCTTGTAGGTGTAGACTCAGTCATCCTGGACATGATCACCCTGAGAGTTTTAGCTGAAAACAGCTGGACTTTTCTGGTTATGTTGAAGACATTTTGCCACCCAGAATGTCAAACAGACTTTTAGCACCAAGTGGGATTTAATACACGTTCTGCACATTACTGATGGAGTGATGGTAAACAGATTTATTTTCCCGTTTTTACCAGAACCATTGCAGAGTCAAAGAAGAAACACGAGGAGAAGCAACTCAAGGCGCAGCAGCTGAGGGACAAACTTCGTGAAGAAAAGACTCTCAAATTGCAAAAGCTCATGGAGAGGGTGAGTAAGCTATGCTGACCTGACAGACAGCAACCCTAAAGAAACTCCACTCAAGCTCAGCTCAGCCTGGCATCCAACGAGAGCGTCTTTCAGCACGCTGCCCGATAAAATCACTTAATATTATAAACCTCTGCTGTCATATCCAGGCCATCTGGCCACAGCCACTCATGAGAGAGGCCTCTAGCCAAAATCTACAGCTTTCATGAAGTTTGTTTTCATACTTCGTCATAGCAGATGAGTGGGTCGTAGAATAAACTGGGTTAGCCACATAAATTCATACAGTGGTGTTTATTTTCATGAATCTACACATGGTCATACAGGAGAGGGTAGAAAGAAAAAAATATGACCATCTTGTTTTGTCTTTCAAAATCTATTGTACATTCCCTCCTTTTCAACGCTCCTCACCCGTCCCTTTCTGTAGGAGAAGGACGTGCGGAAGTGGAAAGAAGAGTTGTTGGAGCAGCGTCGGCGGATGATGGACGAAAAGCTGCTGCACGCCGAGTTTAAGAGGGAGCTGCAGCTCCAGGCGATTGTTAAAAAAGCTCAAGAAGAAGAAGCTAAGGTAAAGAGAGTCCAACTGTAGCCACGTAACGCCCCAAAATGAATCAATCAACAGTCTTTGTTTTATTAATACTTGGTCATTCCTTGTGTGTGTATTTATTTCATTAGGTGAATGAAATCGCTTTCATCAACACTTTGGAAGCCCAAAATAAGAGGCACGATGCCCTGGCCAAGTTAAGTGAGTATGAACTGCGTCTTAATGAACTTCAGGAAGAGAGACAGAGGAGACAGGAGGAGAAACAGGCCAGAGATGAGGCTGTTCAGGTATCACTCCTCTCCAGGCTCAGCCATTTGCTTTTATTACTTAGGATTTTTACTATTGGCTACATGTCTGTTCCCTTCTTGTTTTCCTCTTTAGGAGCGTAAACGCGTTTTGGAAGCAGAGCGGCAGGCTCGAGTGGAGGAGCTGCTGATACGGAGGAAAGAACAGGAGGCTCGTATTGAGCATCAGAGGCAGGAAAAAGAGAAAGCTCGGGAGGATGCAGCGCGGGAAAGAGCCAGGTTTGTGATATCAGACGCCTTCATTATGGGTCTAAAACAAATTAAAGAAGCATTTAGAGCATAATCAGGTTAATCCTCAGCCAGTGTGCAAATACTTTGGTGTCTAGCTCTGAACACAAGACCAACCAGAATAAATGACATCACATCAGCCAGAACAATGCACATAAGAGAATATACTTTTTAATTTTTGTTTTTACGGTTTAAGAGTATTAAATTATTTTTCTTTAACTTTCTAACATACAACACATATTTTTCTATTTTATAATAAAGATAAATGTCTGCCTAGTTGTAATGTGGTTTAATAACATCAGGTTAAAACTAACAAAAATTAAAACAAAAACAACATCAATATTCACCTTTAAATTCTTTAAATGACCTCATCTTAGAAAACAACGACGTTCTGGTGCAACAACTCTGTACTTTTGGTTGTTTCCATAAAAGAAATGTCAGGTATTTCAATAAGTGAGACTTCATTTTCCATCCTCTGTGGTTTATTGCTGTTTTTTGTTTATATAGAGATCGAGAGGAGCGCCTGGCTGCTCTCAGCGCAGCCCAGCAAGAGGCCATGGAGGAGCTGCAGAAGAAAATTCAAATGAAGGTAAGTTTATACCATGCCACCTTGCTGCTTTTGCAGACACATGCTGGAATCCCCTCTCCCGTTTCACATATGACCCACGGTTTCCGGTTTCTTCCACAGCACGACGAGAGCAGCCGTCGGCATATGGAGCAGATCGAGCAGAGGAAAGAGAAGGCTGCTGAGCTCAGCAGCGGTCGGCATGCTAACACAGACTACGCCCCCAAACTAACACCATACGAGCGCAAGAAACAGTGCTCGCTGTGTGGCATCGTGGTATGTAAAGGGACTTTATGCATGTTTCAGGACTTTATATGATTAGGAACATCAATCTAAAGGGGAGTATGAAACTAAACATTTCTTTTTATTTATTAAAATCACTCATCATTAGTTTTATACTTAAAATATTATAAACGAATATATGTATGCTTTTGAACACATCATCATTTGGAAAAACAGCAAAGAAAAGTCATTTTGCATCTGCAGGGGGAAAAAGGCAAAACTGAAGGTGATTCAAAGGATTTTTATACAAATGAGGATTAAACTGCACCGATTAAACAGATTTATGACCAAATATATTCTTTTTTAAACCACCTTGCAGCAAATTCCACAAGCACACACATTTATCTTTGATTAACTGGCTGCTATGACAACAAGGGTGGGGCACCTTGAGATTTCAGACTAGCATCAGATAAAAGAGGAGGGTCGAAGGCATACAAAAAAAAAAGCAAATCTTGTTAAAATGTGAGATGACCTTGGCTGACATCTGACTCTAGAGATCATGGATGGGTCAGCAGCAAGCACTTTGTTTAATGACATTAATCACAAACCATCTCAAATGGGCTTGTTTCCAGAAATTGATCAAAAACAGTTCCTGGTATACACCTACCTCTTGTCATGGCAATCTGTCAGACCTGTCCTACATTTATTAAGACTTCTAAGATAACATTAGGGAAATAAGGCATAAGTGAGCAATTTTTTCAATGACTGTTTAAAGGGATATTCCACCTCAAGGGAAATTTTGTCTATTTTCGTATTCATGTCTGACTGCTTCAGTGTTAAGACCAGGTTTTTGGTTTAGTAATGTCTGGGTTTATATATGAGCAATCGCTTGCTTAACTAGCGTCGAGGTGAGCTATAGCTGCCTGGCACCTGGCTTCTCATCATGTTGCCACTGTCTTGCACCAGATGGCTGGCCCCTTTGGAAATTTCTTCAGGAATTTTCTAGTTGGTATTATTATTGAGTTATTTTAATCTCTTTTGCACACAAAATGCTAACTTCTGCTACTCACTTCCATTGTTTATGCTAAGCTAAAGCAGACAGACTGCTGCCAGACCAGGAGAATTACAGCGCTGGTTACAAAATGCTTTATCTCACTTATGTAACTCTGGGGAATACGAAAATAGACAAAATTTCACTTAGAGGGTGGAATATCCCTTTAAGCTTAATTTGTTTTCCAGTTTACGCTGTAGGGATTAAATCAACAAAACTGATCACAATGAATAAATACAGGGAAATACAGAGTCATGTTATGTGGCTAAGTATCAGTTTCTGTTCTTCAGCTTTAAACTGAGGTTGGGGAGAGGCCGATTGTGTCCCATTGTACGTGTCCGTGTGGTGTATTGTTTCACCAGGGTAACACAGAGCCCTGCTGACCCTTTCCTGCCTCTGTCTCCATTGTGTCTGCAGCACTGACCTCTGACCACTCTGTTTGTATTTGCAGATCACCTCAGAGGTGCACCTGTTCAGCCACACCAAAGGCAAGAGGCACCAACAGGCCGTGCGAGACAGTAGCAGCATCCAGGGACGGGAGCTCTCAGATGAGGAAGTGGTGCGTAGCACACCCCACACAGCGCCAGGAACAAACATCCTCTGGTTCTGTCAAAGAACACTTGCCCCTCTGCCGCTTGTGTCATGTAAATAAGACAAAGAGAAACAGCAGTTGTGTTTTATGACGTGGTCATTATAATGGTTTATACATCCCTTTATACACTGCCTCATCTCTATTGTTGGCTTTGTGTGATTTCAAATGAGCCTTAAAATGTACACAGTTAGGGTTCAGCGCTCCAGTGCCGCATTTACATCACCCTCTTGTCCCTAGGCCTTTTATTTTGTCATGGAGTGGCTTTTCTGTGGGAAGGCAGCTTGTCAATGCAAGGTAACCTCTCAGGCTGCAATATGAGATTGGCTTTCAGCAAAGCTCATTGTGAGGTGAACAACTGTTGGTGCCATACACAGAAGCACCGGCCCCAACAGCTCCTTCATTCAGAGCATTTCTTTTCTCCCCAATCATTGTCTGTTTTTTAAATGCTGGTCATTGTTTGCACGAAGCAACATAATAAACGTCTTATCATCTTATCAAACAATGTTGGAGCTCTTGTTGCATTCTTGACTTCTCTCTGAAGTCATTGTACACTTGTGTGAGATTTCAATTGGCCATAGCTACTTTTTAGCTGTACACGTGATAGCTTATCCCACTGTCCAAAAGGTGCTAATCTAGTAAATTTTGACAAACTTGGAGTAATTTGATGATTGGATCTATTTACGGGCTGCACAGTGGTTAGTGCTGTTGTCCTGCAGCAAGAAGGTCCTGGGTTTGCTTCCCGGCCTGGGGTTTTTCTGAAAGGAGTTTGCATGTTCTCCCTGTGCATGTGTGGGTTCTCTCCGGGTACTTGGGCTTCCTTCCACAGTCCAAAAACATGACTGTTATGTTGATTGGTTTCTCTTAATTGTTTTTAGGTGTGAGTGTGTGTGCTTGTTTGTTTATTTGTCCTGTCACTGTGTGTCTCTTTGTTGCCCTGCGATGGACTAGCAATCTGTCCAGGGTGTACCCCACTTGTTTGCTTGTTGACTGCCAGAGATGGACACCAGGCCCCCCCCCCCGACCCTGCGTGGTCAAGTGGGTTCAGATTGGATGGATGGATCTATTTACATGGTTGGTTTATAAGCTATAGCTCATTTCCCTTTGCCTATAAAGTTAGTCTTTTTTTTCTTCAGATTTAGGAAAGAACATTCTGATTTTATCATTTTAGTTCCCCCTCTCTGCTAGTTTATCATAATAAACTAGACATTTTTTATTGATTTTAATGGCACATTTAAAATTTTCAAATTGTTAAAGTGAAAATGTGTAGTTTTTAGTTTTAATCTCTGGAAATCTCCATCAAAATGTTGTTGTAAATGAATTAAATGATGCCCAGTTGTTGGAAAATATTAGCAGCTTTGTAACATACAACAAAAAAAATCGGGTCGAAAATACACGGGAGCGGGTCTAAGTCTCAGGGCGACGCCATATTAGACACCATGTTTTCTTTTATGGGGGCCTGTGAGGACAAAATGCATTTACTGATTTGTAACAAAACTTTCACCATTCATAAGCGTTGTTGTTTAACAGATGAACCTTTTTGCTGGTTGCCAGTGATAAAAGGGAGTCTGATGTGCTTGTCATTTTGCTGGAGGTTTGCGTTCCCAGGGATTTTTGACCCTAGTGGCCATCCGTTGGCTAGGTCTTACTCAAACACAAATACTGCTTGCTTGCAATGATTTAGGTATCTACTGCCCCCTATAGCCAGGGAAAATGGTCACTTTAAACACTCGTTTAAGTAAACAGGCTTTCTTTCACACGCATTATTCATCAAAGCCTCCAAACCTCAGTGTAACAGTAGGCAAATCTATAGTCCTCTATTGTGATTAATATTCTCTAATAGGTTGAATTTTCTGTAAGTTGAATGTCTTTTATTAACCACGGAACAGGGTCTCCTGAAAACACTGAATGTGTCTTGGGATTGTCTGGATAGAATTTTCCAATCAAATTCAATCTTAAAAATGGCAAATGTCATCTGGCTTTTAGCCTTGCAATATAATGTCATGCAATACATATCGTTTTACCATATTCTTACCAATCCACATCCTTAGTAATTACACACACACACACACTTAAAGGGACTTTACGTAGTTTTGAATTTTTATGCTCGCGATTGCCCCCTCAGGCCAAAAGCGTAATGGCAGCTTCAATAGTAGGCTCGTGCACGAGGCACGCATGCTGTACGTGCACAATCCTTAAGGAAAATAACAGCTGAGACAGTCCAGTGTGTGTGTGTGGCCCGGAGGACAGGAGAACGCGCAGCTAATTAATTAAATAATATGGTTCTGTACCTTTCTCTTCAGCACAGCTGACAAAGGTTTATGATGGGTCAGTCCTCCTGCATGCTCAGATCATTCCCTTCCCTTGCTTGAAAAATTGTTCCAAAATGAAAGTTGAACCCACATCTTTTTTTTTTATCTGTGAATTCAATGCCGTTCAGCGAGTCTCAAATACAAATTCGGGCATCTTACAGTAAAAAAAATATATACCACGAAAGTAAAAAATAAACTCTAAATAAACTTTGTTCACATCCAGAATCAAACTCGGGTCTTCTGCACGAGAGTCCGACGTCTTACTAGATGAGCTAAAGCACCAATGACGTCCTTTGTATCTGTAACATTTATATCCTTGATGACAGCTGAAACAACATTCAAAGAACGGTTCGGAGCAAAAATGGCTATTTTGTTGCTAATTTGCAGGAAATATCTAGAAGAAAGTTCTACAGAAAGTAGCCAAGGGTCCTCAGAAATGTAGCTAGGTTTGTCACTAGGCGTAAGGAACAGCGACAAAGTGGCACTGCCTCTCTCTGCTGCTAAAGCTACGGATAGCAAATGCTACGGGCTATGCCTGAGCGTGAACGCGCATGAAGCAATCTGCTCAACCCGAGCAGCTCTCTTTTTCTGTGATTTTACAGAAAAACAGGCAATCACAGTAAAAATGCCAGGGCTCATTCTACAGGACCAGGGCATTGCAGGAGAATGTATGAAGAAGGAATTTATTATTTCTATACATGTTTTGGCTGTCAAACTTCCATAATGCCCCTTTAAATATCTGAGATGATTAGTATGACTGTCACATGACCACCCCTCCTCCCCTCCCGAAAACATACACAAATGGCAATTACATGGAAATTAATTTGTTTTTAATATCAGCCCAGTTTTACTGGGCTGATGTTTGGGGCAGCAGTTGCTCAACGGGTTGAGCGGGTTGTCCAGTAATCGGAAGGTTGCAGGTTCGATCCCGGCTCCGGACAGAGAATCCTGCTGTTGTGTCCTTGGGCAAGACACTTAACCCACCTTGCCCGCTGGTGGTGGTCGGAGGGTCTGGTGGCGCCTGTGCTCGGCAGCCTCGCCTCTCATCTCCACCAGTGTATGAATGAGTGTGTGAATGGATGAATGATACACTATAGTGTAAAGCGCTTTGGAGTCCTTACTCTGAGAGGTGCTATACAAGTGCATGTCATTTATCAGACTGATATGTTAAAAAATGACAACACCAAGAGCTGACACCAAAATAGATGCTGATCTGTTGTGCATCTGTGCCCCCAAATATTTAACGGCTACAGACTAGGGTTGTCACGGTGTGAAAATGGAACCTCACGGTTATTGTGACCAAAATTATCACGGTTTTCGGTATTATCGCAGTATTTTTTTTAACGTGCTACATTTTCACACAGTTAAATAAACCCTGTATGTCAGGAAATATTGTCCTCAGTTTGTGTCTAAATTTTGCCTAAAATGTGTTATTTTGTAATTATGTTGTTCGTTTACATTTTTCCCTTTAGTCTTTAAAATACCAACATTTGCCCATAACTTCTTATTTTTTGTCTGTTTGATGTCATCATTTAAAAAAATATTAGATCAGATGATACTCAGTACTCAAGTAGCCTTCTAATCAGATACTCTTTTTTTTACCCTTACTTGAGTAATAAACCCTATATCAGGAAAATATTGTCCTCGGTTTGTGTTCTTCCAGTGAGCTTTGCAGATTTGGGAAAATGTCGTCAGGCAGTAATCTTTGTTAAATTCATAATTATTCTCAGAGAGAGACCAACTCTTATCTGCCCCTGGGAGCCCCGTAATGCATAGCGTCATTTCAATATGGGGTGTCCGCGACATGGTGTAAATGCAGGTAGCGGCGCTGCGGCAGCTTAATATAGCGACTCGTTGCAGTCTCCCTCAACCCATATCCTCAGATCACGCATTTTAGGTAGAACGCTAACATTAGCTTGCCTTGCGTTGACTTTAGTTGTGGGTGATGGTCACGCAGATGTGTCATGAGATTTGAAGCATTGCTGCCTTTCACAGACACTTTTTCTGCATGTGCTGCAAACAGGATAGCCGTCTCCTATCAACTGTCCCTCGGCATTCTTCAAATATCCAAAAGATGCCCGTACTTCCCATTTTGTCTTCTTTGAGGGATAAAAAATGTCCTCCTGAGTGCTTCCGTCTCCTCCTTTGGCCATTATTTCAGCTTTAGCTTCAAGAAAGTTTTGGTTGTAAACATCAAAGCGCGCATGTGCCGCCGGCAACTTCAGCAGATGATACGGTGGCTGGTAAGGGTCACCGCGCCTACACCGCAGCCACTGTAACCCCCCCGAGATAATATAGGTTTTTTTTTTAAACAAGGCGGTTATTATTATTGTCAACTTTTTTACCGGGGTTTACCGCTACACTGGTTACCGTGACAACCCTACTACATACACAATTGACCTGGTATTTCACTGACAAGAGCGAAGCTGCACGCATATAATAACTACAAAATAAATTCACTTTTTAGGAAACTGAAAATTCATAGGCAAATATATAGCTATAAAGCTGTCATGGTTGCCCTTGTGCTTTTAAAATTTATTTTTATAAAAAAATATTCCAAATTATTAATTTTAAATTGGGTATGTGATGCAACGTTAAAAATAAAGTAAATGTGATGACTGCTTCTATCATGGAAATAATTGAATATTACAATGAGTCACATCCAAACAATTTTTGTTTATTTTAAATGGCTACTCAAAAATGTATATGTGTTTTCCTAATACAGTTTTACTCTATGCATCCTCAATAGTTTAATTAAAAAATATAGATAAAGAAATCTGACTTGTTGATTACCCGAGATACTCTAAACTTGGTAATCTTCATTTTCATTTTAAAATGTAGTTTCTGTATCTACAGCTTGAGTTTTCTCCAACTCTTAAGTTTTTTTTACAGCCACTCCCAGTGAAAGCCCCTTTTCAGGCAGCAGGTGCAGGGACAACACTTGACCAAAGGGTATGGCATCCCACACACAGGTTAGCATTACTGCTGAATGGAAACCCTTTATCTCAGGGCCATCTTATTCTCTGGGGTGCTGGATGACAAGTTAATTGGGTAATTGGGTTTCTTGCACATGCATCATGCTGTTCAAATTGGGTTACATTTCCCTCCGTCTCCTGGTGGAAATATCAGAATGATCTGACAGGGCCAGACAGAAAGCAACACCTCCAGGCTGCTTGCATGTCTGGGGGGTGGGGGGGGGGGGGGGGTGGGGGGGGGGGGGGGGCAGGTGGACACAAAAGAGGATGGACAATTGGAGGTAATTACAGGGACCAGTGTTGCTGTTGAGACATCAGACAGTATATTCAGTATCACATAAGTGACTTATTTCTGCTTGCATTTATTTTTGCTAATGATACACATTAGGCACCATCTTTTCCAGTAAAATTGATTGTGCCAAAATGGAGAGATAGTAGGATTGTCTAAAATATGCATTCTGTTGATTGCAAATTTTCAAAAAAGGATTAAACACTCTGATGCATTTTAGTTTTGGCTCTATTGAGTTGCATAGTTCAGTTGCACCATCCAGTAATTTACAAAAAGGTCAGCATTTGTGATGAGCTCTGGGTTGTTCTTAGGGAGGCATTTGTGTCACTTTGCTCATCGTTGTTCTGTAGATCGCCTGGTACTAATTCCTGTAAAATATCCAAAATGGAATTTATGTATCTACTGGAGGGATTTTTGTAACTATTTGGAAAATGAATAATTTAGGAAAATACTCGTATACCTTTCATTATTCATTTATTGGGTTGTTAGTGTTTGCCCAGTTATATCAGTCACTTTCTTAATCTATTTGTTATATATATATATTTTTAGGAGCATCTTTCGTTGAAGAAATACATTGTGGATATTTTGACGGACAGCTCTGTTTCGTCTGAGAGTGTGAAGGATGGAGAGGAGCGCCAGAAAGCAAGAAAGAGAGCAAAGAAGCTCCGAGCCAGGATGAACTCCAGGTACTAACATCTTTCTCTTCAATCAGCCTTTCTTCTCACAGACTCTGAGAACCAAACTGCCAGGATTTTTTTTCTTCTGCTAGCTGTGACAAGGAGATAGAAAGCAGATGGCATTTGCATCCTTGCTGTCCACAAGGTAACACTGATGAGCTTAATTTATGACCACTTTCTGTGATTGGGGGAGCAAAGCGGCAAATCGATACGTAGGTGCCCATCTCTCCCCCGTAAAGAGCTTTTCTCCAAATTGCTGCCACGACGCTGCCAAACCTGAAGTCTTCTTCAGTGAACAAGATGTATGTTAAAGTATGTATGAGCCATGCCTATTTTTCTTCAGAGTTATAGATTTTTTTTCTTCTTTAGTGGCACATCAAAGAAAATCAATAGTAATCAACAAATTGGAGGTGGTGTTGCAGCATGTCATAACCTGGAGTTGAGCTCTATCAGGTTATCTCGCTTTTAAGAACAGGAGAGAAGAGTTCAAAGGTGCAATGTTGACAATGCTTATTGACTGATAAAAAGATGTTATTGATGCAGATTATTAAGTGGGTTCCATCATGAGCAGGATGACTCTTACATAAAATGCACCTGCAGTTGGGTTTTATTTGCAGGGCATTCTGAAAAGCACTTGTGTGAACGGATGAATGAGAAACACATGGCTGTTAAACAAACACACACTTATAGTTCTTCCTAATCTAAATATAGGTGCTCTAGACTTTAACCATACACCCACACAGTGATGCTTATGGGGTTCAGATCCTTGCACAAGGACATTTAAACAAAGGAAGATGTGAATTTAATATCCAGTTTGAGGACAACCTCTTTCTTTCCCCTTACTCCCAGTGATGGTGCACATTTGTTAGCCAACACTATATTTTGATATTAAACTGTTCTTCTAAGATAGTATCTCACCTAGTACACTGTAAAAAAAACTGTCAGGTTTACGGTAAAATATCGGCAGCTGTGGTTGCCAGGAAAATATCGTGAAAAAAATGTGTTATCTGTAAACGGAAATACGATATACTGGTTTTGTAATCCTAAATTTTACAGTAGACAATGTTTTTTTTTTTTTTACCAAAATCATGGTAGGCAAAAAAACCAATATATTTTTCAATTATACAGTAATTTCATGTTAAAAAAAATGCAACTTTACATAGCTTTTTATGGATTTTTACAGTTAAAAAAGTTATATTAATATTTACATTGATTTGTTGTTAATTTAACAGTTAAAGGATAAACCTTATTATGGCAAATAACTGTAAAAATAAAAATATGGTAAATCTTATTAAAACCTTTGACAATAAAAAACACAGTGAAACTGAATAAGACATTACAGTATTTTATTTTTACTTAATACATTTTACGGTAAATTCCTGGCAACCACAGTTGCCGGTATTTTACCGTACATTTGACAGTACAATAAGAAAATTAAAAAATGTACTTTACATTTAACATTTGCAACCGTTAAATATAGAAAAATATAAAGATGCTCAAATAAGTTAGTGAAAATTACTGATAAACAATGAGAAAAATTGACATAGCATTTGAAAACAAAATAAACATTATTGTTCTATTCCTACCCACAGCATAGATCTGGAGAATACAACATGTGTTCATATATTGTGACTGGTAATCTGTGGAGGAATAAATAAACATGAAACACAAAATTACCTGCCTCTGACCGATCAACAGTAATTAGTCACTGGGTCCTACCTTGGTGAAGGAAAGCACTCAGTGGAGTTTCTAATGGCATGGTGTCGAAGATACAAGCTCTGCAGGAAGACTTCCATGTCGATCAGGAGTTCACTTTGGTCTAGCAGGATCCTCTCTGCAGGAAAAAATGGACAAAGTTTCAAAAGTTTTATCAGTTCTTGAGCAAATCACAGAAATGAACTTGCTCTCGAAAACCGATCTAAAGAAAAAATATTTCTGAAGTTTTAACAATACAGTTCTTCAACCTACTTATGTAAAAGTGATACATAGACAACACAGCCTTAATCACAATCATAATTTATTGGAAAACATTGTACTCAAGTCTCCTATTGATTTATCATAGAACTTGAAGTTAATCGCTGAATCAGGGTTATGCAGCAATCTTGAAGCATATTTTAAACCTTTTCAAGACTCAGTTTTTTCTAGCAAATGAAGTGACCGTTGGGTATTAGAAAATATTAATAATTTCTTAAAGGGCAGACATTTTTGCTTTCTAAACTAAACTTTTCCTCATAAATTTAAAAGCATTTGTTTGACATTTTCTGACCTTACAAGGTCAGAAAATCTTAATTTAGGTAGCGAAAATGTCTGCCTTTAATTACAAAGAAATTCTTAGTTTTCTCTAGGAAATTTTTTTTCTGGAAAATACATAAAATTATTCTCGGAATTGAGAGTTTTAGCTTGCAATTTTGTCACATTCTGCAGGCTCCTGCCATGTGAAACAGCCTTTATTAGAGGCGCAGTTTCCTACATTTCCTCTCATCCCCCTCATGGTCGGGCCCCTCACAAGCTCACAGCAGCAACACACGTGTAGCAATAAGCTATGAAATAAAAACATAGATGATGTTAAAACTCAAAGGTTGTAATGAAGATTACATGATGATTAAAAACAACTCACCTTTACTACACCTGCAAGGCTTCATGTTAGTCTGGACCATTTGTAGCTGCAACAGTCAGTCTGACAGCAGATTTCTTGGGTTCATTTAGCCTGAAAAAATAAAATTATATATAACATCAGTGTTGTGGGAGGTCGCTTCCAGAGATGATGAAAAACGTGGAAAGCGGAGCAAGGATGGAGCTACAGGTTTTTCTGTTAGATCAGGAGGCCCTGAGGTAAAACGGGATGTTAGTGTGAGTCTGGGAAGATACTCCTCTCCAGTGGTGACCAGCCAGGCTGAGATGTAAGGAAAAAAACAGAATACAGAGTACAACATTATTATTTAGAATGTTTTTACCTGCATCAGTTCATGGAGCTTATCCTGTCCTTCAGATGGAAGCTGCTCAGATGCTCTCCACCACACCTGGGTCTGTTCAGGAGTGTAGAAGCTGCTCTGGGTGGAATTCCCATCATGGTCCCTGTGTCGGACACACTGCTGCTGGGAGGCTATGTGAAATATAAAGAAACAGCAAATATATTTATAGTTGTTTTTAAGAGCAGCAACACACGTGTGTAACAATAAGCTAAAATAATTACATGTTAAAACTAGGAAGGTAAAGAGAGACAGATGGTTAAAAATAACTCACCTGCAAGGCTCTAGCCTGGACTGGTGCAGGCTGGTGGAGGACTACATCAGTCTGACAGCAGGTTTATTGGGCAGATTTAGCCTGAAAATAATAACATCATGTTGTTGTGAGAGTTTAGTAACTTAGATCGTGTACAAAACAAACTGTCTAATATATGTGCTTTATAACATGGCTGGTGAGTGATCGGACTGCTCTCAGTGCTAACTGAGGGTCCAGAATCAGACATGTTCTAATGAGAACCGGACTCGGCACCAGTTCAGAACCGGGTCAGGTCTGCTGCAGGAGGAGCTACACTTGAGTGTCCCTCCTGCTCTGCATCAGCTCTGATAATTACTAACTGGCACAAAACCTTAACACGAACCAGTCTGTGACATTATAACACACACAACACTCGCTTCGAGCCTGCGGCAGTGTGGACTGATTGTATAAATTACGTGAACCACGTCCACGTCTCTCTTACTTTGCATTTATAAATATAGCAAATATAGCTGCAAAATTACAGGTAGGGAACGATCTTTAGAAGCTGTTAAATGTAATTATTTAGCTTACTCGCCTCAAATGTGGCCCAAAATCTCCGTTTTGAGGAAGCAGCAGTCGGCGGGATCCGGTGTTCTGAGAAAACGTCCTACTTTGGCAAAATGTCCTACCCGTAGGATAATTTTACGGTGTTTTACGTGACACAAACCCTAACCATAACTCTAACCCTAACCAAAAAAAATCAAGTATCAACGTCAATAAAAAGTACTAATTCTTACTACTTATCTGTTTTCCTGCAAACATGACAGCGGAGTACCATTCCCCTTTTGTGTTGTGCACATGCGCGCACATGCTCAGTAACAACGGGTAGGACGGTTTATTGGGTAGGAGAAATTCCTAGAACACCTGCTAATTACTGGAACGGCTTGGACTAATTTGTGAAATGCTCTTCAAACCAGCATAACCCAGTTCAAACTCCATCCCAGTTCAAACTCCATCAAGTTAGTGAAAGAGTAACATGTAAAAAACACTTAACTACAATATTAACAGCCAATCTACTAGAATTAAATTACTATAATACTAGAAGTTTTGCTGGGACTCTGACTCAACGCTAATGCTAACTACAGCACAACTCACTTGCGACTAATCCGAGTCTGACTGCTACAAGACTGGTTGAGACCGCACTACACATGTCTACAACATGATTAGATGCTCATTTATACTAGTTATCAGCTAAAAAAATTTGATTTTTAATGTGACTTGCTCTTTAAGGCGGACCCAGGTGGTCTGATGATATGGCGTGAAACATAACATAAAGTTTATTTGAAATAATAATTGAAAAAGATTATTGAAATCAATTTTTTTACAACCACGAACTTTATTTTAAACATATTTTGCTGTTGATTTATCAGAAGGTTGACAATAACTTTTTAGGCCTATAGGCCTACTGATGTACAGATTTTTAAAATTAAAAATAGCCTACTATCAATTGTATTGTCTTTTAGTGATGATAATAGTTTTTTATGGTATTTACTGGTTGTATTATTACGGTGGACCCTTTTTTTAACATCTTGCTTCAGTAAAAATGAATGTTTTTGTTTGCTTAAAAATCTACAGATTTATACTGTGAATTCCAATGTGCACAACCCCCAAAAGATGTAGTTTTACTTGAATGATACCGTAAAATTTAAGGTTTTCAGACATTTTCAACGTTACAAAATTTTATTGTAAAATGTATGTACATTTATTTTCACAGAAAATCATTATAATTTCAACATTTTATTACAGTAAAAAACTCCAGTCTCAAAATTAACGGTTATTGAATCTATGTAATACGTTAAAATGAAGTTTTTGGTTGTACGCTCCATTACCGTTGGAATTTGACGGTGTTTTACAGTATATTTTACTGACTTTTTTTACAGTGTAGTTTGCTTACCTAGTAGCTATTATTTCACACAAACTTTAGCAAACATCCCTTCTGAGGACTTTTATCTACAGTTTACAAGGGTTCTTAATTTCCTCACAAACATCAAGACTTCAATTTTGTGTCAGTTTTATATTTTCAAAAACTCAACTAATCTACCAAAATAGCCACAGCTGACGTGCGCTTCTGACTGGAACCTTTCTCAGTTTAGTTTTGTGAGTCTGAAAGTGTTTTGGAAGGGGTAAAAGTCGAGGCATAATCAAAGAAATTTGTGACTAATTTGCAACAAGCTAATTTCTTTTCAGTTGAATCATGTTTAAAAATTATAAATAAACCCAGGTGTTTTAAAGACAAAATCAGTGTTATTCTAAGTAAAAATTGTGTATTTTCTCACATTTTCAGGCTCCCAACTACTTATCCACAGTCACAACTCAGGGAATTTAGCCTTGTGGCTCTTTAACTTGTTGAAGAAAGCTACTTAGTTTTATTGTAATAAAAATATTGTGAAAAGGAAATCATTAGTGATAAAGAAGGGAGTTAAAATCCCATCAATCTATATGTACTGAAGTCCAGGCATCTCTTCATGATCATGACATTTTGAATTAAAAAAAATCACATTTCCTCACAAAATACTTGAGCTTCCTGTCTCAAACTGGTTTAAACAATCATAAAAATATTTACTAAATTCTGTACTCATCAGACTTGAAAACCGAGTTTTATGTAAACAAATCAATATTTTATATATTTTTTTAAAGCAAGAAATGTACTGGAATACTCCTATATATACTATAATATAGTCGCTGCCTTGTTTAAAATCGGTGGAAATCTTCAAAGTGATTTAAATAAGTCTGGTTTATGGTTTGTATTACTTCATAAAATAGGAATTCTGATTTTGGACAAATTTGGCTGACTACTCTGTTATCTTTTCCACTTATCATAGTTCTGAAGCTTCAGCATCCTGAATGTGTCTTCAGGGATGAACTATGAAAGCTGTTGTGACTGGGTGAAAACTGGCTTTCCTCTAGGCTCTCATAGATAAAAATGAGAATCAAGTTTTTTTAAGCAAATTTATTGCTGTTTTGCTTTTTAAAAGAGCCTATAAATTCTTACACTGACTAAAGAGACAATTACATGTTTAATCATCCATTTATCTTTGATGCTTTATTCCCACTAACGCTGTTTTTGCCTTTGTGAGGCTCAGCGGTGCTCTGACATCAACAACACAGTCCGCTTCTGTTCGCCATCACTCGGCAGTAGCCCCGCAGAGACCAGGACTCAAAAGCAGCAAGCCTTTAGAGGTCATAAATAACACAGAGCCCCTGTAAACATAAAGGTGAGCCACTTCACCGCTGTGTGGAAATGAAGCATTTTATTGGAACGCCGTATGGCGTTCGTAAAACCGAGTGGCTCTCACAGCACTTTGCTCAAAGCCGTCACGCAGTCCTGTCATGCCATAAAGCAGTGCACTCAACATTTTCTGGGTGGTGATTTGGCTGGCCCTCTTTAATAATAAATGTTTTTTAGGTAAAATAAGCTAATAAAGTTTTATGCTAGTGTCCTGCCAGCTGGTGTCAGCTGTTGGGTTGTGAGTTCAGCAACCAGAGCTTCCACTCCTCTGATGAAAGCTGCTTTCTTTTTGATGGTTGCTTGTGGTCCACTGAGCAAGGAACAGATCTGTGTGTGTGTGTGTGTGTGTGTGTGTGTGTGTGTGTGTGTGTGTGTGTGTGTGTGTGTGTGTGTGTGTGTGTGTGTGTGTGTGGTGATAATTATGGTTCTGACTTGTTTTAAAATAGGATTAACAAGGCCTGTGTTCATTAATTTATAAAATTATAAATTTTATACATTACAGCTTTATTAATTGTTTTGTGTTGCACATAGTGCCTTCTATTCTTCTGGTAAAAAGGATTTATTGCACATTTAACATGACCATAAAAAATAACTCAGCAGTTACTCCCTTTTTAACCCGATAAGGTATAAACCTGTCAGAGATTAAAATGCCAGTGTTATGAATGACAGAGCCAGCATCTTGCTCTTTATTTGTCCTGCAATCACACAATTTAAAATGATTATACAAAAGAATAAAAGTTGAGCCATGATGTCCATTATATATAGTTTAACACTACACTTTATTTACGTCTCTCTTGGATTACTTGTTCAAACTTTGAGTATTCATTAAAAACTCCATTTGTTTTTCTTTTGAATTTAAGAGTGAACAATGAAGTTGAACAATGAATTTAAAGAGAAGGTGTGTAGTTTTTACCATACATTTCTAGAAAGATCCATCGAAATGTTCATGAAATTTATAAACGAAATTATGTTCATTTGTTGAAAAATATTGGCGGCTTTGTAACATAAAACTATAAAAATCATGTCTAAAATACACGGGAGCGTGTTTAAGTCTTTAGGTGACGCCATATTATTCACTGTTTCCTTCTACAGGAGCCTGTGAGGACAAAATGCATTTACTGATTTGTAACAAGAGATTACAAAACTTTCCTCATTCATAAATGTTGCTGTTTACACATTTACCTCTTCACCTATTGCCAGTGATGAAAGGGAATCTGACGTGTTTGTTATTTAGCTTAAAGGTTGCACTCCCAGAGATTTTTGACCCTAATGACCATCCGTTGGTAAGGTCTTCAAAAACAAAAATACTGCTTGCTTGCAATGATTTAGGTTTACCTCCTCCTATCGCCAGGGAAAATACACATTGTCACTTTAAAGGTGTATAACTCTGAAAAACAATTTTTTAGATATTATTTCTGGTTATAATCATTCACTGAGTTTTTCATGCAGGCTGAACATGAAAATAGTCTCCCACACCTGCCTCCTGCATTAGGTTCTGATAGAAAATACATCGTAAAACTCTTGGATTTGAAAAGCCTGACAGATCTACATCACACTGTCACTTAACATTCATGAACTCGCCCATCTTGGCTCGTGATGGGGAATTTTGTTGTTTTAGTTTCCAGGAATCGGCAAACAACGTCCTGACTAGTAAAAGCTAACCATTAGCATTAGCAACACAACTACACAGAAAAACGTGTGTTATTTAAAACATCCACGTTGCAGTCAATGGTAGAGTTGCATTGCCGTTATCCAATCTAAGGAGAGATAAGAGTCCAAATCCTGCCGTGTTTTGCCACTCTCTGCAGCAGCAGACTTATTGGTGCTGATGTAAGTGGTTATGGGCTTATTTGCCCCGAGTATGGCTTGTAAGGTTTTTATTCCTCCCAGAGACGACTGCAAATGTATTGATTAAACGAATTTCCCACACCTTTTAAGATTTTAGATAACTTGTCATCTTACAGTGATGCCATTTATTCTTTTCGATTAAGTGACTGTCCTTGAATAAAGGGGATTAGAAAGTAGGACATAGTTTACCAATTAGCATCATGGACAAAGCCACCTGTGTGAGTTCCAGGACATAAGTCTCTGAGTCCATCAGTGTTGGGATGGATCACATGAAGGTGCTCTGTCAAATTGTGATCAATAGTTGCTCATTATGTTTGGAAAAGCCTGATTAAAAGATAAGATCCCTCACCATGGTTTCTCCAACTAATGGCACACAAGCAGAAAATGTCTTGTGACATTTCAGACTTCTTCACAGGTGTGTTTCTACTTATTTCTCCATGATTTTCTTTGACTGCAGGATGCTGGGAGAATTGATCCTTATCTGACACAAAAAGAAAGGAATATAAAAAAATGCTTACTAAAATTGAAAGACTTAAATATTGGTGATTAGAACCAGCAGCTAAACAGTTGTTTCTTTTGAAAAAATGTCTGATTGCTTTAAGTTGTTACATGACGAGTGGGTGACTGGTAAAAAAAAAACTTGTTTTACATGTTTGCGTTCTTTACTAATAAAAGTATTTTAAAATGTATGTTTCCAAGATATTTCTCTACTTTTTTTTCTGCAGAGCAAAGGAATATGAAACGTCATTGGAGGCAAAGAATCAAGTCTCAGACTCTCCATACAAAGCCAAGTAAGGGCTTCCTTACACCCCCCCCCCCCCCCCCCCCCATACTTATTTTTTTACATGTACTGCAATCTATTTGGTCATGTTACAATTTCAATGAAATTTCTTATTGCATGGTAAAAAAAAAACACAAACATTATTTGCTGAATCATTGTAGTCAGTCAATTGTCCTATTAAATTAGTCTGCTAAATTACAAAAAATAATTGCATCAACTCACATTTGCAGAGCTATATCATGTTTTCCTTTAAACGTTTAGCTTAAAAAAGTGCTAATATCAATTTAAACATGACTTGTTCAGACTAGCTAATGAACTGACTCAGTTAAAGATTAGGATCTGGTACGAACTGTAATTTAAACATATTTTGTTTTGTGTATTTTCACTTTCTATCTTCCCTTTTCCCCCAGGTTGCAGCGTTTAGTGAAAGACCTTCTGAAGCAGCTGCAGGGCCAAGATGGTGGGCAGTGGGCCAACACCAAAGCCTCTGGTCTAGACAGAACTCTTGGAGAGATCTCCCGCATCTTAGAAAAACAGGTACGATAACAGAAGTTGTGAACAATATAATAACGTTTTGGGTTATTTTACTATTAGTTTAACTGATGTTTATAGTGTTTTGAAACATTTTACATTTTGTATGCAAATAATACACCTAGGAGGATTTAGTTTTGTTCCTTGTTTTCGATTTCTGTGCTGATTATTGGTTTTGCTGAGTTTCACCCTTCCAGCATAGAATATCATCTACTCTAAACCAACTTGCCCTTGGTTTCTGGCTAACAAAGACCAGATTAACTGATTTTACTGTCCACATGTTACCAATAGAGGACGTTCCTAGCCTTGGAGACGATATCCTGGGCTTGCCTGACTCAAATGTCACTGTTTAGATGATGGTAAACGTGATATACCTTTCAAAATTACTTTAAGGACAAGTAAAACCTTTCAAATTTTTACTGGATGTTTTTTTTATTACATGCATAGATTCTGTGTATAATTATTGCTTATTTAAATTTTAAAACACTTGTTAATGTTTAACCGAAATAAGGATTAAAACACCTGCTGACATGTTTACGATGGGATGAAAATACAGCCCGCTTCCTGCATGGGGACATAAATTTTATACCAAGTTGTGGTTTGAAACCATCATAACAGCCTTCAGTGCGTGCTCCTGGGTGTGAGGATAGAGAGCTTATGGTGTCCCTGCAGTAATGATGAGGATGGCTGGAAGGGCCATTACCAAATTTCCCTAGAGAGGCGAATTAAGAGCCGGCAGAGGTGGGTGGCACGGCGTGTTTGTAAGGGACGAGGAGGGGACCAGCGTGATATGCGTAGCGCACAAGCTGTTGCTACATGAGGGGGCTCCTCCCCTTAGCTCCACATACTCCCAGTGGGAGGTCAGAGGTCAGTGGGCCACAGGAGATGTGCTCCATTCAACAGCAGTGTTGCAGGCAAGAGCAGATCAAGGCTCCGTCTGGGAGCTTTTGCTTTGTCTTTCTCTTCCGTTTAAAGCAGATTGCCACTCTTGTGACGAGTTCTACTTCAACACCTTCTTGCACAGATGTCCAACCAGAGTTGTGTGGAGCAATGATTCACCGGCGAGGCAGCCCGAGGAACATTTCCTTCTCTAATCCTTTGACAAAGTCAAATAAATAGAGTCTCTATCAACATTGCTGTCTCGCCCCTGAGTCACTTCTAGTTGGGATCATTTAGATTATTTGACCTAACAAGCATCTCTCATGTCATTGACTCACCTAGAGATTTGTTTTTTTCTCTCTCTATCTGATTCAGTCTCCACTTTCTTGACTAATTCCTTAGACAACAGTCACCCCCCACCCCCACCACAGCTAGTGTCTGACCCAAACGTGTTTCTCCCTCTGAGGCCTTTAATGGTTTGTTTAATGTCAGACCTGATTTTTTTTTCTCCATGTTGGGCAATTTGGGAAAAGCAACTTCTTTATCCCCTTTACGCTATCATTATCCACGGTGTCTGTTTATTTATCATCCCAGTGTTTACTAACACTTGCAGTTAAGCAGTTCGTCTGCATGAAAAAGAGACCGCATTTATGACAGTTTGGAAACTTTCAGGAATGTGTTGTCCAAGAGCCAAAATCTGCAGACAGTATTTACATTTTCATTTGGTAGCTGTCAGAGTCTGGTTTGGCTGACTGGAGGGACTGATGAAGGTTTGTTCGGGGGACATGTTGAGGTTGGTGGTGGGGGGGCAAAGGGCAAAGTTGCAGGATAACACGGTTTCTTGGTCGGGCCTCCAGCAGACTGACAGATGCAACCCAGGTCTGCAACATCAGAACTTGGTCAAAAAGAGCAGAAATGCCATTTAGTTTAACTTAAAATGTTTCCATTTTTAGTTAAAATGCATTTTATATTTAAATCAGAGGGGCACTACACAGATGAGTCACGTTATGACCACCTGCCTTATAACTAGGGGTGTTCTGGAATGGGATTTACTTAGGTTTTTTTTTTTTCATAAACACCATCGAGTCCCTTCAGATTTGGAGAGTTTTGAGGGCAGATGGCGCAGCCAAGTCTTTCCTGTACCTCCCCTGAACCGTTAGCCTGGCCTGCCAGACTCGTCCTCTGTTTAGTTCTGCACAGAGAAAAGTCTGGTAACTCACAGGCAGAGGGGCACATGAGGGGCGGGACTAGGCAGCTCAAAAATAACCAATCAGAAAAAAGACGGAAATGCCGACTGTACCACATGACGCTGTAGTTTTTTAGCTGTAGTAAAAAAGACGTCTGGCAACGGCGCAAACATCTTTTTTTTTTTAAAGAAGAAATGTTTTTAGCACGTCTACTTGTTGTAGTTTTAAAGACGTTCAAGTCAATTAGAACAGAGGAAAGAGCCGCAGCGAACTCCGCTTCAATCGCCATGTTTATGACAAACTCGGCGTTGTGGTGTGTGACGTACGATACTCAGTGCTGATTTCCTCGGTTAGAATTCTCACGGGGTGGGGTATTTTGAATAGGAGAGTTCCCAGACCCTTTCTCTGTGCAGAATTAAACCGAGGAGGAGTCTGGCAGGTCAGGCTACAGAACCGTTGTTACTCAGGTTTTAGGAGGTTTGCTACTGTATGGGGGAGATGTGGAGGGAAAAAATGTTTAAGAGGTTTGCAGGAATAAATAATACCCATGTGAGTGGATTGCATTGTAATAAAGATACGCTTTACTAGCCAGTGATCTATTGTAGAATTTCCCCTTTTTTGTCTGGACGTTCCAACTTGAGGTTATTGACACTGAATCAGCTTGAATAATTTTTTTTTTGTCTTTTTCAAATGTAAATATGTTATGTAAAAATCCAATATACAAAACAATCTTAGACCTCCATGAAAACTCTGCATGTGCCTTTGGATCTTTGGAACATTCTTAACGAGTCACCATCTTGGGAATCATTGAATCATTAAATTAGCTTCAGTCTGCTCCCAAAGGGCTTTTCTTTATTTATATCTTTCTTTGCCACTAAACCTGGGTATGGTGGTGTGCCTCTGAGCTGCTTGTGTTGGTTATGATCTGTGGTTGGATTTTATTCCGCTCAAGCCTTTGATTAATCAAAGTTAATTTAATAAAATAAACATATGTGGTGAGCAAAGAGCAAATGCAGAACTAGGTAATTATACAGTTTACTAAATTATGCCATATCCTGTGTAAACCTAGGTTCATAGTTATTAAGAGTTAAAAACATTTACTTTAGCAGCTTTGACGTGGTTTAAAGTTAGTTAAGCTCAGTTGTTGACATTAATCTGTGGTGAGGGTCATTGTGTACGAGTCTGACTAAAGTCACAGATTAAAGTTAAACTTTGTTGTTAATGAAGTCTTTCTTATGTCGTCCATCTGTTTGTAGGACTACACCATTAAGACGGTGTCGTCCTCTGTGCTTTAATTAAAATGTCTGGTGGGAGGAGACTACAGTGAGCTGCAGACACAGTTACAGGAATCACCAGCTGCCCGGGCCTTTCCATCAGCTGGTGAAACAATAGTCACTCTGGGCGATAATTGGATGGGATTGCCCCTGTTGTATAATTTAAAAGTGAATTTGTCCTCATGTCCTAATGTTCATCTATTCATAAATCATCCTACTGTTTTCTTTTTTCTTTCTCTTTGAAGGAAAATTAGTTTTTACTTGTTATTGATGACTTCCAAGCTGGTGGCAGACAGAAAACCCCTTAAAGGTCCATTGAAAACTTCATCTATCTTTTATTTATTTATTTATTTATTTATTTATTTGTTTGTTTGTTTGTTTGTTTGTTTGTTTTTGCCGTGCACAAAATTTTTGCTTTTTGGACCCACTGAAATGAATGTTTTGACTTGAATGAGGTGGTGATTTACCTAAAAGGTTTTCAAATGATGAACATGGCCATGGACTATAACATCACCCATTCAGGACATGATGCAGTGTTGAATTTTCTCACTTTCAGCTCTAAAAAGTTTTAGCTTAAAAACAAAACGAAAGCCTGTAACAAACTGTCACATTACAAAGGTGTGCAACATCTGTTTGTTTGCTTTAGTTGAAAGATGAAAATGTTCTAGAAAGGTCTCATTTTAAAAGCACTGACATGCAAAGGCAACTTGGTTTTTGGTTGTGGGTTAAAAGTTAGGTAATAAGTAGGAACAAAAAGCCGAGCTAGCGTACAAGGTACTCTATAAAGTAATCCAAAGATTGTTCAGTTAATAACTTCCAGAATCCAATTCAAAATTCTGTTATACGTATACATTCAAAGCCATCCATAACCTAGCTCCACCGTACCTCTCAGACCTCCTTCATCCTTCAACCTCCACCCGTTCCCTCAGGTCCTCCTCCTCCATCCACCTCTCAGTCCCACCTTTCCGTCTGGTCACTATGGGGAGCAGGGCCTTCAGCCGCTCTGCTCCCCAGCTCTAGAACTCACTTCCTCCTGACCTCCGTAACATTGATTCCCTCACTCTCTTTAAAACCAGACTCAAAACTCACCTGTTCCGTCTAGCATTCCAATAATTACTCTCGTTGCTCCAATCTGTCTGTTTGTTTTATGCTGTTTTATCTTTTATTGTTGTGTATTTTATCTCTGTAAAGTGTCCTTGAGTGTTCAGAAAGGCGCTGTTGAAATAAAATGTATTATTATTATTATTATTATTATAAAGTACTCAATAGCTGCAGCCCTGGATGCTTTCATAAGAACTCTAAATCCAAATTATACACCTAAAATGACAGGAAACAGGCTAGAAACACATGTCTATTATTAATTTAAAGTTTTTGCAAATTGGTGAAATGTTGGTCAACTTTAAAGGGACTTAACGGAGTTTTTAATTTTTATGCTCGCGATTGCCCCCTCAGGCCAAAAGCGTAACGGCAGCGTCAATAGTAGGCTCGTGTACGAGGCGTGCATGCTGTACGTGCACACTCCTTAACGAAAATAACAGCTGAGACAGTCCTCTGTGTGTGTGTGTGTGTGTGTGTGGGGGGGGGGGGGGACAGGAGAACGCGCAGCTAATTAATTAAATAATTTGGTCCTGTACCTTTCTCTTCAGCACAGCCGACAAAGGTTTATGATGGGTCAGTCTTCCTGCATGCTCAGATCATTCCCTGCCCTTGCTTTAAAAATTGTTCCAAAATGAAAGTTGAACCCACATCTTTTTTATCTGTGAATTCAATGCCGTTCGGCGAGTCTCAAAAAAAAATTTGGGCATCTTACTGTAAAAAAAAATATACCATTAATGTAAAAAATAAACTCTAAATAAACTATGTTCACATCCAGAATCGAACCCGGGTCTTCTGCACGAAAGTCCGACGTCTTACTAGGTGAGCTGAAGCACCAGTGACGTCTTTCATATCTGTAACATTTATATCCTTGATAACAGCTGAAACAACGTTCAAAGAACGGTTCGGAGCGAAAATGGCAATTTTGTTGCTAATTTGCAGGAAATATCTAGAAGAAAGTAGCTAAGGTCCTCAGAAATGTAGCTAGGTTCATCACTAGGCGTTAGGAACAGCGACAAAGTCGCTGAGTTGGCACTTCCTCACTCTCTGCTGCTAAAGCTACTGATAACAAATGCTACGGGCTATGCCTGAGCGTGAACGCGCATGAAGCAGCCTGCTCGACCCGAGCAGCTCTTTTTCTGTGATTTTACAGAAAAACAGGCAATCACAGTAAAAATGCCAGGGCTCATTCTACAGGACCAGGGCATTGCAGGAGAATGTATGAAGAAGAAATGTATTATTTCTATACATGTTTTGGCTGTCAAACTTCCATAATGCCCCTTTAAGGCTAACCCCCAAATTTCTCTACCTCCGCTCCGCTCCGACACGAACGCTGGAGCAAAATCGGTCCCGTTGTAGTCAATCAGAGCAATTCTACTACTGCGGCCGTGCTCCGGCAGTGCGGCGCCGCCCTCTGTTCCGGCGTCCGGCAAAAATAGAATCGATCCTATTTTCGCCGGACGCCGGAGCACCTCCGCAGTAAATGGACAGAAATCACAACTGCCCAACAGGAAAAGGAGCAAGCACAACTTCCGTTTTTCACAATAAATCGATAAACAAAATGCGTTTTTTGTTTCATATGCACAGGTTTAACAACTTTTAACAACTATCAATGGCGGCTGAAGTTTAAATGCACAAAAGTAAGCCATAAATACAGTTTCCACTATCAAAGTAGTCACACTTTGTTGATCCAAACACTGCTGATCTCTCAACACAAATGATGGGCAGATTAAACAGTTCATGCCGATGCTTCTCCCACACAACGGGTGTTTGGACCTAACTTCCGCGTTTTTTGCTCGGACTGTATCGCAAGATCTCGAAAATCCCGCGCATGCTTGTTTACCCACCTCAGGTCTCCGCACCGGAGCGGAGCCGTTGTAGAGCACGTACCAATAAAAATTGAGTTCGGAAGCGAGCGGCTGCAGAAGGCGGGGGCGGACCGGAGTGGAGGTAGTGGAATTTGGGGGTAAAACATTGCCAGGCAAGCCATCCTATATATGCAAATATATAGTCGACCCATAGACTGAACTCAGTCGAGGGGCAGAACTTACGTTTGTTCTTTCTAACTGTCTCCACATGCTAATGATCAACAAACGTGATGTACTCACTGCTGCTGATGCCAACGGGGCAGTCCACCAAACACTGTCAAGGAAGACACAAATGTGTCCTTTAATTAGAAAAAGGATACAAGTAATTGTTTCTGCTCTTGACTCAAAGAAAAGCAAAAGTCTAAATGGTCTGAAGTTGGTGCCAATGTCGTATCAAACAAACCGCTGCTATTTTTGTTGTTTTGCCCTGTTGCAGCAACATCTCGCCCACCAAACCGATAGAGTGCTGTGATTGGCAAAACACAAGACTGGTCAGGCCTGCTGAGGCTCAAATGGAGCGTGGCTGAACTGATCTGCAGAGCAAAATCCTTTTGCTTCTACTACAGTCTGTCCAAATTTCTAGACTAGCTAAAGTATCCATTTAAGTTTTAAAACAATGCAGCACATCTTGACTAAATTAAATTGCTAATTATTCAGGACATCTAGAAATGCTTAGCTTTCTCTTAGCTCAAAGAAGCTAACATTAGTTGTCTGCAAATTCCTGTTTCGTTGCTTTATCTTTGAAAAGATGAAAAAAAATCATCACTTAATGTTGCTTCTTTCATTATTTCTTGATGTTTTATTTGAGAATATTTCTACCCTGGTCTGTTTTTGATTTCTGGGAACATGTGTGCACAGAAACTTCCTGAAGTTCATATGGCAGTTAGAAGCTAATCTCTCCATTCTTATTGTTCTGTCATCACAACAGATACATCTGTCGTCACTGCAGAAAAGGAGAGAACATGCCTTAAAAAAGGGTATATTCTGTTCTTTTACAGAAGACAGCCAGGACTAGGCAGGTCCCAGTGACATCCTTTAATACCCTTTGATAAGCTGCTATGAAAGCGCTGCATATTCCCATTTGGCCTGGAAGCACTGAGGTAGGCGTGCTGATGGGAGAGAGGTTAAGCCGAGCTCAGTGAATGAGACCTAATTGATTAGACATGGAAACTGCTGGTAATGTACAAAAAAGGAAGTCGCAATACACCTTTACAAACACTGCTTAGACTCTTTAGACAACCTTTGACACCCTTCTCATTGTGTTGAGACATCTTTAGCATGTTTAACATTTTTTTAGAGGGGTTTTCTGAGTTACTCACTCGGCAATCATTGAGTCTAACTCTGGAAATGAGAAGCCGTTACCTTAGCAGCAAGCATGAACGACGGATGAAGAGCTTACCTATAATTTGGGAAAGCACTTCTCTCTAAATGTGTTCAGGCTTGTTAGCAACTTCCCATGTGTAGAACAAAAGCTCTGTGAAGTGCTTGGGTTTTAGGGCTGTCACAGTGCTGAGGAGATCCTAGCCTCATCAGGTGACCTGCGGTGTAACACGGCTGTAACAGGGTGGCCCTCCATCAGCAGCTCTCTGCCAGTTCCTGTCTTTCCTGTCGATCTCGGCACAAACATGCCTGGTAGCCAGAACTGGATTTATACTTGTTGATGTATAAGAAACTGTAGCAACAGCACCAGCCTACTGCCAATTTCTCCATCATCACAGGTAGCTGGGACTAATCTTTTTTCATGTGTTTACTAATCTAAGGCATTGAGGTATAGTGGATAATTTTTTTCCCCATTTTTTGTGAAATTTATGTTTGTCTTCAACTTTTTTGGTGTACACACTAAGCTGTTAGCAAGGAAAAATGCTCTTTTTTTTGCGTTTTCTTTTTCCATGGAGCAGTAGAGGTTGCAGTGTAATATAGAACAACAATAATGATTACCACATGGAAATGTACAGCTAAATTATTAATTTTTGTTTATTAAAATGGTAAACCTCCTGGTTTGTGAATTTGAAATTCTAGATAATTCTGTATAAAGTTTTAAAGGTTTGGTGGGAAAATGTGTTTCTACAACACAATAAACTGCTCCTCCTACCTCACTGTATAGCAGTGCAGTAAAATTATGTATTTTTTCTTAATGAATAGATTCTTAAAAATTGCCCTTTGCCGAATTGGCATTTTCTCAGTTTCACTTGTCATCCGTTCAGACCACCCTCATGATAACTAGAGCCTGCAGACCATTTGCCTTTAAGTGAAATTTGACTGCTGTGGGGTGGAGTCATTCTGTACGCTTTTTGAGATTAAACAGGAATACTTGTGGGACTACTTTGTTTTAGATTTTAGTCCCTGGGCTCAGTTGGACAGAAAAGGTTTCCCTCTCTGGTGAGAGCTGTGTAATCCCCTGTCTGCTGGCTACTCACTCTCCTCCTGACTGTAACGTTTCTTTCTGTCTTTGCCTCAACAGAACAATGCAGACCAAGTGGCCTTCCAAGTGGGTGGTGGCCTGTCCGCTTTGGAACAAATTTTGCAAGTCATCTCTGCTGCTTCTACGCCCACCGCAGTCCCCCGTATTCCTCTCAAGTGAGTACTACTTGCAAAAGTGAAAAATTGGTTTCATTTTCAGAACATTAATACACAAACCAGTTGTGGCTGAGACCTGTGAAGCCATTGACATCAATTATCTACTACTAGCTATGTTTTGATCTCACCGTATGGCGTTTCTAATTCATAAGCTGTTTGTGTTAATGCAAATTTCACAATACATTTTGCATAAGATGAAGCTGTAATCTGAGATTTATATTACTAAAGATATTAAATTATACATTTGAATTTAAAAAATCAGTCTGTGTACAAGTGAGTATATACAATCACTGGCAAAAACAGGGGAAACAGTCGCTGAACAAATGTAGAGAAGATTAAAGTACAATTTTTTTTTCTAGCAGAAATTTCAATTTTTATTTTCTTTAAATAAAGTTTCAGCACATTATTCACGATGAAATGACATATCACCAAAACATTAAAAGCCATTATTTTAATAATGCAAGGAGGAAACGGGAGCCAAGAATAACTTTCAAATGCATTTATTAACAAAAAGACAAACTGCAAAGCTTCTCCAGCATTGTTTTACTAAGATGGGTGACCTAATTGTTTAGTTTAAACTATATGGAGCCTATGTCTCCTCCCCTTTTGGTCAGCTCATGGGTTCCTGGAATAAAGATAAAATGAATCCAAGTGGACAGGGCTATAAAAGCTATTTTCTGGTCCGCTTTGCCTTACGCCCTGAATCACGCTTAATCGTGTGCATTTCAATGTCTGTCACATACTTTGAGATTTATTAGCTAAAAAGGTCTAAAAAATTATGTTCCACATCTCCTCTCCCCCAGCGTAGCTGCTACTTACCACACGGCCAGATATATAGTGGTTTTCTCCATGTTTAATGCTCCTTCCTTTATCCAGGATAAAGGATTCAAACATTGTATATTTTCTTTTATTGTCTGGTTTGATGACGTCAATTTGGTGACACAAGCATTTGTAGTCCCCTACGTCTTTTCACACAAAACCTAAAATTATTTGCCGCCTGTCGAAAAGAAATGCCTTCTTGGCATCAAAATGTGTCTTTAAAATTCACGGACATCATATGTGAAATCCATGGCACATATCAAACGGGATTAGAAAATAACTTTTATCCGCTCATACACTCCCATTCTTTTTTGTTTTGGCGGTTGGGGACCCATGGTCCAGAAGTAGATGAGTGTGACTTAGGCTCCCTGCAGCACCAAACTCTTGACGCATTCTACCCGTTTTCGTCGATTAACTAACTCTGTAATGGTTTGTGTCATCAGAAATATTCAAATGCCTTTTAAGTCCACTTGCGCCGGGGACACACCGGCCGCGGAAGCGCCGTGAAGCGCCGAGAAGCGAATCGCTCAGGAAATTCGGCCACTGCTCGCCGCTCCTCAGTTCAGATCAGATGCGCCCCAGTCGAGGCGCGCCTCGGCTCAGCTGTAGTTTTTCTTTTAAACACTTGGTGTCCTCCATTTCCTCTCTGCCTTTTCTCAGCTCTTTTCCTCTACGTGTGTGTGTGTGTGTGTGTGTGTGTGTGTGTGTGTGTGTGTGTGTGTGTGTGTGTGTGTGTGTGTGTGTGTGTGTGTGTGTGTGTGTGTGTGTGTGTGTGTGTGTGTGTGTGTGTGTGTGTGTGTGTGTGTGTGTGTGTGTGTGTGTGTGTGTGTGTGTGTGTGTGTGTGTGTGTGTGTGAGAGAGAGAGAACCTATGGTATGAGTTGTTTCTGCCAGTTGAATCTCTTGGAACCCGCTCCAATTCTGCAGCTGTATCCTAGCAGTTTCTTCCAAAACGGGTACGTAAATAATCATGTTTTTCGGGGGTCGTACAGCTCCTCGTGTTTCTCAACTTCCATAATTAATTTAAAGTCATCCATCTTAACTGCTTGCCTCAGACTTTCTGCCTCTCTGTCCTGTTTGCTCCATGAAAAGACACCCAAAACCACACTCCCCTTCACGTGATCACACACGTACACAAGTTCGATGTGTGTGTGTGTTCCGGTGTGTTTGTGTGGTTTTTCTGCAGTGTCTGATTACGAACACATTTGACTATTGCGGAATTTTATTTTGAAATGCTTTATTTTGTTAACTTTACCGGCCTGCCTCTTATGTCTAGGTTTGACTTCCTGCCAGAATTGACGCGATTCACCCGTGGCTCGCGAAAAAAATAGAGCCGACGCCGAAATGATCGCTGCACGGCGCGGGCTGGAGGGCGCGAGGCGATTCGCGGCGCTTCGGCGGCCCATGTGGTCTATAGAATAGCTTGACAAGGGCGCCGAATGAAGGCGGTCCCATTTTCGCGGTGCTTCCGCGGCCGGTGTGTCCCCGGCGTTAGTGTTATTACGGTAAATCCTGTTTCACTGTTGCTCTGTATCACACTCGTGAATGGTTCAGAATGAGGGACAGTAAATTAGCAATGGAGACAGATGACCGCAGCCATTATTAGTGTTTGCTGAAGCAGCGCTATGAAAAGAAAAACAAAATGACCAAATATGCCGCTCTGTTAACAATTGGGTCTTGGCTCTTGTAATCCTTCTGCTTCCACCCACCGCTCACTGTTGCCGCTGTAACGTTTTTAAAACCTGGGGGAAATCCCATATGTGTTAAATAGGTGATGCAACCGATCCAGGGTCAGTCAGGAGCACAGCAACAAAAAAAATCCTTTGTTGATCATGTGATCACGTTGTTTGAAGTTGCAATTTCGATCAGAAAACAATATAGTTCAGCCCTTCTGAAGGCCTCATAACAGTGTAAAATAAATATTTCCAAATTATCAACGTGGTTTTATTTTTAGTAGAGACACGAATTAGAATTCCTTTCTTTGTGACTGTTTCTGTAGTTTCATAACCTGAGTTATCGGAGTTCAAATCTACTCATTTGGCTGTAATTATTGCATTTGAATAATTACTCTAATGTTTAACAAGGCTGCTTTCCAAGAAAAAGAAAGGTGTTAAATTTCATCAGTCAGTTGGTGTTTGTTCTTTTCTTTGGAATACAAACTCCCATGTGTTGCTTAGAGTATTTTTGAGTTGGGGAGGATCCATCGTTTCGTTGGTCTACCAGTACATAACCTCAGTGAGGCTGCTGTACTCAGAAGTGGGATTCTGTAATGGACTCGAATGGCCTTATGCTCCCATTCATTAGCATTTACTGGTCTCTCAGTCTCTGCTAATGGACAAATGCTTCTTATATTTATAAGGCTTTTAAAGGGCATTGCATGCGTATTGATTTTTCCCCCCACTTTTTCCAGTCTCTTAATCTCAGTCTTTTGTAATATGAAGGTTTTTGAAGCTCCCATTTTGGAAGAAGCATAATGTGAAATAGTTTCTTCAAGCAGAAAATGTGTGACCAGTCATGCACAATGGATTCACTTACACTGTGTGCCTCTGTGTATTTTTTGTAATCTGTTTACAGTTTAAGCAAACTTTGCATCTGATGTGACTTTTGTTGTTGCTGAGCTGCTGAATTGTTCTGTGGTTTATTTATTTTAGTTCATGACGACATCTCATTGGGTCTTTCATTGTGAAAAGCACATTGGGACAGATTTTACTCTTGCCACTGCAGCTCATGACAAGGTGCAACACAATGATGCATCCTGGCCGTCTCCTTATCACAATCTGTCTCCTGGTTGGCTGTGTGGCCTTAATGGGCAGCTGTATGGACACCAGCCCCAGTGTGCTACGTTATCTGTTTACAGAGATGCTGCTGTATTGATCACCTCCTCCCACCAGATAAGCAGAGTGATTTACAAAAAAAAAAAACAAAAGCACCTGCCGAGATGCTTATGCCATATCTCTCCCCGAGGAGTCTGATTCCATCTTGTTACCATTACATTAATGAGCTAATTCCTCTACAAGTCTCTGCTAATGTTCTGGTGTAACCCCGTGGTCACTGGAGTGTGTAGATCAGAGTTTATGCAGCTGCCGTCAAGAAGCTTAACTGGTGAGGTGGCATTTTAGAAAATAAAAACATAACAGCATCTTTGCTATAAACCCCTTTACTAATTAACAATCTAGCAATCTTATTAATGAAATTCACTTGCATTTCGGTAAATCATATTCAGAAACATTTCAACCATCTGATTACATCACAACCGTGTGTGTGTGTGTGTGTGTGTGTGTGTGTGTGTGTGTGTGTGTGTGTGTGTGTGTGTGTGTGTGTGTGTGTGTGTGTGTGTGTGTGTGTGTGTGTGTGTGTGTGTGCGTGTGTGCGTGTGTGCGTGTGCGTGTGTGCGCGCGCGCGTAATATTTTCTGTGAATCATCCTACTATTTGAGGTCCAGTGGTGTAGAGGAGCTACAAGTATTATTTTTATCATTCTCTGTTGATGTTTTTCTCCATTAAAGGCTAGACTAACATGAATATTTTAGGAGCTCTGATTTTTTTATGTTAAATAAAACTTTGAAATATACTAAACATGCCAATTTAAGGCATAAGTTATAAAAATCTGTTTGTTTTTTTGCTTAAAGTGGCAGTGTGTAGTATCCTGGCGCTAGGGGGCAGTACAAACATTTCAGGGTCGTTTTACACCATATCGCCGTGACTGTTGCTAGTTTAAAAAAACACTACAGTAAATGTTACCTGTGGAGCAGAAAGCATGTGACCTCTGGTTGGCGTGACTCCTCAGACTTTGATGGTCCTTCAGTTAATTCCATCAAGAGAATGCAGTGCCGATTGTAGTTTTCTGTCATTGTAGTTTCTGGATCTGCTCGGGGTCCTGCGACTGCTGATGATGTCATCATACTACGGCAATACCTCTTAGCCAAAATATATCAATATTAACTGTACTGACAAATGAAAAAATCATTTTATTAATTAAAATGTACCAATTTACCAACATTTACCTATTTAAAATTCACCAGCTTTTTATTAGCCTTGCCTTTTGCCTTACAAAAACAGCTATGTTGGTTGTTTAATTTCACTAATTATCTACCTGGAGCATCATTATTTTCATCATTTATTTTCATTATTAGTAGTGGTGGTAGTCTAAGCAGCCAACATGCTTTTCCTTCACTGCAGAATCA